AGACTTAAATGTAAGACTGGACACTATAAAACTCTTAGAGGAAAACATAGCAAGAACACTCTTTGACATAAATCACAACAAGATCTTTTTTGACCCACCTGCTAGAGTAATGGAAAAAAAAAAAGAACAAACAAATGGGACCTAATGAAAGCTTTTGCACAGCAAAGGAAACTAAAAACAAGATGAAAAGACAACCCTCAGAATGGGAGAAAATATTTGCAAATGAACCATCAGACAAAGGATTAAGCTCCAAAATATATAAACAGCTCATGAACCTCACTATTAAAAAAAGAAACAGCCCAATCCAAAAATGGGCAGAAGACCTAAATAGACATTTCTCCAAAGAAGACATACAGATGGCCAAGAGGCATGTGAAAAACTGCTCAACATCACTAATAATTAGAGAAATGCAAATCAAAACTACAATGAGGTATCCCCTCACACCAGTTAGAATGGGCATCATCAGAAAATCTACAAACAACAAATGCTGGAGAGGGTGTGGAGAAAAGGGAACCCTCCTGCAGTGTTGGTGGGAATGTAAATTGATACAGCCACTATGGAGAACAGTATGGAGGTTCCTTAAAAAACTAAAAATAGAATTACCATATGACCCAGCAATCCCACTACTGGGCATGTACCCGGAGAAAACCATAATTCAAGAAGACACGTGCACCCCAATTGTTCATTGTAGCACTATGTACAATAGCCAGGTCATGGAAGCAACCTAAATGCCCATCGACAGATGAATGGATAAAGAAGATGTAGTACATATATACAATGGAATATTAGCCATAAAAAAATGGAATTGAGTTATTTGTAGTGAGGTGGATGGACCTAGAGTCTGTCATACAGAGTAAGTCAGAGAAAAACAAATACTGTATGCTAACACATATATATGGAATCTAAAAACAAAAAAAAATGGTACTGATGAACCTAGTGGCAGGACAGGAATAAAGATGCAGACGTAGAGAATGGACTTAAGGACACGGGTGTGGAGGGAAGCTGGGACGAAGTGAGAGAGTGTCATGGACATATATACACTACCAAATGTAAAATAGATAGCTAGTGGGAAGCAGCTGCATAGCCCAGGGAGATCAGCTCGGTGCTTTGTGACCACCTAGAGGGGTGGGATAGGGAGGGTGGGAGGGAGGCTCAAGAGGGAGGGGGTATGGGGGGAAAATAAAGACATGCATGAATTAAATCACCACTTCACACCAAAGAATGGTTCCTCCCCCAGGTTTTAGAGAATTTGTATGCCCTGGTCAACTGTTTTGGATATTTCAGCGCTTAATGTCTTTTTTCCTTAAGTGTCACAGTTATTGCCAACCAAAGTCTGCTATTCAGACACACTTAGCCAGGATCAGGAGATATTTGTAAACACTGTCAATGAGAGCATGAGGCTTTAAAGAGACAAACATGTTTTGGGATGAAAAGGCTCAAACTGTGTATGAATTTGCCTATTGTTTGTGGTTGATTGTCTCACAACCACATGTCCTGATGATGGTTGTTCCTTTTTTGGGCTAGAAGCAAATATTCTACTCCTCCTTTTCAAGTTTTATGGTCATCAAACAAACTAGTAAAAACTAACTATAAGGGCTTTGTGATCATTGATACTTCAAGGCGAGTAGTAAATGAGGCAGAATAAAGTGAATAATTCACCTGCCAGAATTTCCTGTACCCTTGTCTACTACGACTTCTCTTGAAGTTTTTCTGTTTCATACTTTTTCATAGAGTCCTGGATGGAAAGCCTTCTGCATTTTTGCTGTTAATGGTCTAAAGCATGGTCTTCAGATTTCTTAATATATTAGCAGATTGGATACTTGTTTAAAAATACCAGTGTTGACTACATTCACCCTGCCCCAAACTGCATAACATCTACTGCTTCAGTATCTAATGGGATGCCTGGAAAACTATTTAAAATTACACCTTTTTTTCCCCTTTCTCTCTTACTCTTTCTCCCCTTCTATTTGTATTTTGATATAATTTCTTTCCCCCACCTCCCACCTTACCCTATTGAGAACTTCTGATCTAAAAAAGGGAGCCCTTTGTCAGTTGCTTTAGCGAGAATCATCTTACAACCAATTTAGTTAGGATGATGATGTAAAGTGAAAAATACCTACATTTAAAAATATGTACACACATTCTGAGGGGCAAAAAAATAAAGGTATGGTAAGTCAAGGCATTTCTCTTAGGGGGACGTCATGTACAGCCTGAATTTTGAGCAGATTTTTGAGAGAGGAGTAACAGGTAATGGTGCAGCAGCAGAGGAGGGAGGCATCTCGTGCATTGGCAGAGGATGAAACAGACAAATCAGGGGTGAGAAATCACAGATCTTCAGGATAGAAATAATGTTGGAAGAAAGTACTTGCTTGTCACCGGCCAAATTTTCAGAAAGGACCAATTACGAGAAACAGCTCCTACTTTGATTCACTCTTTCACAAGGTCAGAGAGGTGATTGTGTGATGAGACTGGGTCTAGGATCAATCGATCAGTCTCCCCCCCCCCCCCCCCCCCCCCCCCT